TAACAATGAAAATACATCCTGCATATCAGATATTTACATTACGATTCATAACAGTAGCAAAATTACAGTTATGAAGTAGCAACGAAAATAATTTTATGGTTGGGGGTCACCACAACATGAGGAACTGTATTAGGAGGCGGCATTAGGAGTGGCATTAGGAAGGTTGAGAACCACTGCTATAGTCAAACTCACAGAAGCACAAAGTGAAATGGTGGTGGCCCAGGACTGGGAAGAGGGGAAATGAGTAACTGCTGTGCAATGAGAATAGAGATTCAGTCAGACACGACGAAAAAGTTCTAATACAATGATGTGCATGTAGTTAACAATACTGTACTGCACGCTTAAAAATGTGTTAATAGGCTAGATCTCATGTGTTTTTTACCACAATAAGCAAAGGCAAAAATGAAGTATACTAGTATATGACATGACTTGCTGGTAATGAACCATGCCAGCTTCTGGAGATCAGCATTTCCATTTGTAAGTACTAACATCTTTATGGAATTTTATTTACAGAACTGAAGCTCACCAATATGGCTTTCAAAATCCACTGTCTTTTTGGAAATCAGAATGGCACCTATCCATCTTAATCTTTCCTTTAATATAGGATTTCCTAAATATTATTTACAGTGGTTTCTAAAATTCATCTGCAAATTCTCTTAGAACCCTGAGATGACATTAATCTGCGACAGATTTAAAATAAATGACAACAGTTAGATACATACTTGCTCTCTTACATGCTATATACCTACCTCAATTTCTTTCTCACAACTGTTTCCTTTCCAAATTAATGTGCAATGTCTCAGAGAAGCAAACTAAAACAAAAATGCTAAGTATTTCTGCTTTTTCTATCTGCTCCATTATATCAAACAGCAGGCCCAAGCTTTTAACAGTGCAATTAATAAAATGCATGGTACTTTTTAATTTTTATTTGTTAGTCCTCACCCAAAGATGTTTTGCTTTTTATTATTTTTAGAGAAAAAGGAAGAGACAGAGAGAAACATTGATTGATTGCCTCCTGTACGCACCCCGACCAGGAATCAAACCCACAATCTAGGTGTGCCTTGACAGGGAATCAAACCTGCATCGTTTTGGTGTACGGGACTATGCTCCAACCAACTGAGCCACCTGGCCAGGGCAAATGAATGGTGCTTTTGATATAAGTTGTTATTATTTATATAAACTTTAAGAATATAGTTATTAAAATTATAATTTCACTGCTTACTTTTAAATATGCAGCTGCCTCTTGTACAGAAAGTGTTCTCTGACTAGAACTGCCACATTCATGATCTCCTGGAAAGATTAGCATATTATTAATTTTGGATCAGTACGATGTTCAATGGAAGAAAGCAAATATTAATCAAAATATTTTACAAATTGCAATTATAGTTATTATATTCACTAAAGAAAGATGAACATTATTTATATTTATTTCCTAGGAAAAATCCAAGTAATGTAAATAAACAATTACCTTTACATAAACCACAGCTTTTAACATGCATTACAGTCTAGATAAGAACTTATCTTCCTCTTATATTCACAACTACATTGTTAGCTGGGTTAGGAACCATGTCACACTATGCCTATCCAAAGATCTTGGCACACAGAAGGCCCTCCACAGATTCATTATTTTTCAAGTGAGAAAATTCACTGTTCTAACATACACATCTATCACTAAAACTAATAGTTCAAGTGTTCAAATAAGTTTTAATTAAAACATACATTTTCAGAATATAACTAAGCCTATCTTTAGCAAGTAGTGCACATGCCTTAAAAATTACTGTAACACATCAACAGGGAAATTAGAAGATTCTGGCTATAATCTGGTTTCTACAGAAAAGCACATTTTCCTTTTCTTGTCACTATAAAAGAATCCAAAGCCTTTTCTGTTAGGCTATCTATAGTTATTAGAGATCAATTATCCTCATAATGAACTTCAAATTTAAGTTTTTCCTGTCCTGTTTCTTTCAAGTAATTAAAAAAACTTTAACGTAAAAGTTCAATAGTTAAAATAAAAGTCTTGGCAAATTTTCCTATCATAAAAGAAACCATGTTCCTATTCATAGTTTTGTTCGAGTAACTCATTGCTAGTGGTTGTAGTTGTAAAAAGGGAAGAAATACCTATTAGATGAACAAGTAAGTTTCAAACTTTATAATGTATCCTCAGAGATTCAGATGCCTTAGATCTACAGCAGGGGTCAGCAAACTACAGCCCATAGACCAAATCTGGCCTACCACGGGATTTTACTAGTATAAATGAAGTTTCATTGGAACACAGCCACACTCATTTATGTATTATCTATGGCTACTGCTTTCATGCTATAATGGCAGAATTGAGTAGTTGCGACAGAGACAGTCTAGCCCACAAAGCCTAAAAATGTTCTACACTATTTGGCCCTTTCACAGAAAAAACTTTTCCAATCCCTGCTCTAAAGGAAGGAATCTATATTTTTAAAAGCACTTCAGATTATGCTGACGTAGCACACTTCATAAAACAATGCTATAGAGACAGCTGTAGACGCTTGTGGTAGCAACATCAGGAATTCCTGGCTAAAGTATGTACTTAAACTATTTCTAGTTGCTACACATACTGAATAAATGTCATTAACTTGCAGTGTATAAATATGACAGTTCAAAAGTCAACGCAAACAAGGCTTTTAGTGATATACACAGAATTGTGAGCCTAAAAAACTGATCAGAATTAAGGACCCAAACTAAAAAAATAAAGATTGATAATAGGATGGGGAACTGCCAGAATTCTAAATGCCTCCATGCAATAAGAAAAGTTCCCCAATTACCTACTAGGCTTCTACCAATGATGTGGTTCCCACAAAAAGGATCTGCTACATCAAGAGTATGAACAATTGCATTTTTATTTTCTTGTAACTGTTTATAAAAAGAAAATCTCTTCTATAAGAAGAAAGTCTCTTCTTTTGGTTTAAATGTATAATAAGAAAAGTTAAAAGGTAACAAACTTTGAAGCTGCTACCACATTTTATAGGTACTAAACTTAATACCAATTCACCTATATTATTGTTATTAATAACCTATACGCAAATATGTTAATACCTGAAAGCTTTCAAAGACTAAGAGCAGAATATAAAGAAAATGCAATGAATCAGGAAGGAAAAATTCTACAATATATTTACTTTATGACATCTATATAACCACTAAAGAAAAATCTGCGTTTTTATATTTAATCTAGGATTTTAGTTAATTCATTGCTTTTCCAATTTAATTTATACGTTAAGCTTTCAGAATTTTGTTAATTTTAATGCAGAAAAAATTGACTTTAGAATATTATATACATACATTTTGCACTAGTACATGTGGCAGGCAGAAAAAAAACACCTTGATTAAATATTATCTACAAAAATAAAAACCCACTCCATATAGGTAATAATAACCTCAAAAGAGAAAATATTTCACAAATATAACACTAGACTTGAGAAAAACTATTTCTATTGCTACAGCATGCTACATATGCAAATTAATTTTCAAAACATTTTTAGAGACTGCAATTGTTAAAATAATTACCTGCAAGCTGTGCCAATCGATCATGAAGCTTGTATAAAGTGTTCATCATAAGATTTTTTTCTTTTTCCTAAAATTGAAAGAAATTATTTTAAAATATCTATGTAACTCCAAGAAAAACACATACACCAAATAGTAGTCTTACCCAAAAAGAAAAGCATAAGAAAATTTAAAATCATAGATACTATATAATCTAAAGGACTAATTTATATTTAAACAATGGCTACCATATTTTAAAGAAACTTAAGCCTAAAATCTAAATAATCACTTTATGTATTTTACTTTCTTGAGGATGATCGGGAAATTGGCACTAAGGTTAGTGCTAAGAAAGGTCTCATACACAACAAACTTCGCCAACCACCAAAACAATGCTCCTCAATACTCCCCCCAACCCCATACAATAGCATGCTTATGTATATTGTCCTTATAACACTATTTTCTTCTAGGCTGCCCTTCATGTTTTGTTTAATCTGATTCAACCACATAATAAGGAATGAGTACTGATGCCTTGATTGAACCTCAACATCTCCTAAGCTCCCAAAATGGCCCTGAATAAGTTTATGAAACATTAAAGTAAAAGAAACATTTAATGAGTATTTACTATGAGTTAAGATCGTTCTCCGCGCCCTAACCGGTTTGGCTCAGCGGATAGAGCGTCGGCCTGCGGACTAAAGGGTCCAGGTTCGATTCTGGTCAAGGGCATGTACCTTGGTTGCAGGCATATACCCAGTACGGGGTGTGCAGGAGGCAGCTGATCGATATTTCTCTCTCATCGATGTTTCTAACTCTCTATCCCTCTCCCTTCCTCTCTGTAAAAAATCAATAAAAAATATATTTAAAAAAAAAAAAAGATTGTTCTCCACAAAGCAAGAGATCCAGTGAACAAGATGATTCTTGTTCCCAAGGGCAAAAAGCATATCACAGTTGCATACAAAATATAATGTAAACATAGAAAAGAGAGAGGGAAGGGAAGATCTATTTATGGAAGACAGAATATTTGAGTTGAGTTTCACAAGAAGAATAGAATTTACCAGCATTCCAAGCAGAAGAACAGCCATGAGCAAAGGCATAAAGGCACAATGGCATTGTTATATTTCTTACATAACCAGTAGCCTACTTTGACTCAGCAACCTACTAGAAAAGTAGTTTGGAATAAACTGCTAGAGAACCCTAAATACCAAGACAAAGAGTTTGACTTCATTTTGAAAGCTTAGGGGGAGGAAAGTAAAACAGACACGTGCATCAGGACCTTTACTCTGACCACATGAAAGGAAATTAGAGGAGACTATTGGAATGTCTATGCACCCTACCAATTAGTCTAAAGCAATGAGACCCCCAATTTAAGAGCAATCACAATTAAGAGAGACCAATATAAGCAATGGAGAATAATAGGTTAGGAGAGCGGGTAATAATAGCTTATTACACTATTTGAAATAAATTCATGATTCACGAGGGGGGCTGTATTATTATTCCCTTTTTCCCCCTAAAGTGTCTAACAAAACAGGATTACTGTATGAATACAACCAAAAGCAAATTCAGGCAAGATACAAAAATCTGGAAAATTGTATGTCCAATAACATGCGGCTTCATCCATTTATTTTCATGCTATATATTCAGAGACAGAAGAAAAGTTTGGACACTCACTGTAAGTGGCATGCTTTTGTCAATGCAGTGACACTAAAGAAACAAGAAAACTTACCAAAGGCTCCAAATCCTACCACCGGAGTCCCTGGTTTTATGTGAGATTGTTGGTAAGAGACAAGTGATATTCCTTCAGCTGACTATTTGCCTTCCAATCCTTTTGATTTCCTTCCACCTCAACTCTATCTCAACCAGATTCTGAGTCAAGACAGTCCTTATCTTTGCATAAGCTTAAAAATCCAAATTGCAAAAGTCAGACATCAAAAATAACTGCAGGAGTCCTAGCCGGCTTGGCTCAGTGGATAGAGTGTCAGCCTGCGGACTAAAGAGCCTCAGGTTCGATTCCAGCCAAGGGCACATGCCTGGGTTGCGGGTTCGATCACCAGTGGATTAATAAAGATGGAAAAGAAAGCTGAGAAAATAAATCCAAACATTCAGAACAAGAGAGTAGTCTCAGCCTGAATCCCAGTTTAGTACTGAAGTTCAGTTTAGTGTAACAATGAGAGATTTTTTTTTATTTTAAATTTACTAGAAAGAAAACTAAATCAACTGACAGAAACTGTTGCTCCCACCTAGAGACCACAGCCTGGACACTTCGATGTTGCATCACTCCACCTCTCCTCCCAGAAGCCTGTTTTTTGTTTATATATATTTTATTGACTTTTCACGGAGAAGAAGGGAGAGGGACAGAGAGCTAGAAACATCGATGAGAGATTTATCAGCTGCCTTCTGCACGCCCCCTACTGGGGATGTGCTGGCAACCCAGGTACATGCCCTTGACTGGAATCGAACCTGGGACCCTTCAGTCCACAGACTGATGCTCTATCCACTGAGCCAAACCAGTTCGGCAATAAAAATATATTTTTTAAAAAACAAATATATTCATTATAATAGAATGAAAAGGAATTCAATGATATCGTAGGCTGTGGACTTGACACATAAAATCAAGGTAAATCTGATTAGGCTCGAAGATTAAAGTAGCTGAGAGTAAAAAAATAAACAAATAAATAAAGTAGCTGAGAGTTTTATCATTTGTCTCCTCCGTTATTTGGAAGTGACTGATTTCCTTTTTGCTTTATGTTTATGATGAGTAGATCCTCATCAAACCCATCCCCACTTTCCTACTGAAAATAAAACTAAATTCAAAAATTTGACACTTTCTGTCTGTGATTACATCTTTAATGAACACCAGAGGACTAGGAATACACTTCATCTTTTGATTCACAGATATTAACACTGGACTAGATAAGTAGAAGAAATAGCAAAAGCAAATGTAAATGAATCTCATACTGGATAACATACATACTATTACATTCTCATACAAAGATTTAAGCACTCAAAAAGCTCCACTATTTTTTCATGAATTATTTTTCTAGTGATGACTTACTCAAAAAGAACATCTATATAATATAACAAGATTCTCAAGTGCCATCCAAATGGACTATGTTATTAATGTGAACAAATCATTTTTGAGAAAGAGAAAGGCTTTGTTTGGTTCAATTATCTTTAGCACCAGTATGCTAAACTGGAAGTAAATCTAAAAAGTATGTAATCAAATATTAAAGTTATTTTCTTTATAGAAACTTATATTGGCTTATAGTTGCATTACATTCTTCTTCAACTCAGACTGCTTTTTAGATTGACACTTCCAATATTCAGCTTGAAGGTGTCTAAACTAGTGGCTTCCCTAATCACCCCAAAAACAAGTTAATGATCTACCAATAAGTCCATATTTAAAGTAGCTTTCAAGTAATCTTTCATTAAACACAGATAGTTTCACAATTTGACATAGCTACCTTCTAACTGTCTGTTTGGTAAGGTCCAGATTTTAGTAATACGTATACTCTAAAGCAAAGTTCTTATTCTTAGGAGAAAAAAATCAAACTGTAGAGAAACTATACCAAATTTTCTCATATATTGTCCCCTTTAAATATTTCACTCTTCTATCCTCAGCCAATTTTCTCCTCAAAAATATTTTCAATTGTTTGTATCATGTATCTGATTAAATGATAATGAATTTTAAACACTTAGCATGGTGCTTGGCACAGAATAAGTGGCTGTCATCATCTTTATTATTACTATTATTATTTAGAGCCAGGGTGGGGAACATCCAACCCATGTATAAGGCCCACAAAAGCATTTGGTCTGGCCCTCCTAAGGCATTAGCGTGAATTAATTAAAAGTTTGACCAAATATAGCAGGCTAATTTTTAAGTTAATAATTCTGTATGGCCTGCAAATGATGTTATAAATATCCAAATGGCCATTGGCAGAAAAAGTTTCCCCACCCCTGATTTAGAGGTTCTGAACTTCAGTTTCCCTCATGGGAAAAATTATACAAAAGAAAATGAAGTCTTGTATTTCCCATGTTCATTGAGTACATTGTACAAATTTAAATTATGGTACCAGTAGCAGTGCTGTACTTAAAAGTGTAACTGTCAACTCTTTTAAAACAAATTATCTCAACAGAATATTACAAAAAAATAATCATTACAGAGTCTCACCCTAACAATCTAGAGTAATATTCTGTGGAACTAATTATATACTATTACACATCCCTCATCACAACAAATATAATGTATTCTACACAGTTCTATATTACTGTCAAGTCCTACAATTTAAAAAATTAAGAATTTTGTATTGTAACTCAAATATCAATTTCTGAAGTGTCTATATGATGGTAAGCAAAAAATATTTTCATGTGAATAAAATTGGTAAAAATTAACATTATAGATCCTTTAAAAAAGAAATCATACATAACCAGCCTAAGGGATATTTATGCCTTCCTGATGGTGGAACAGGCATGCCAATGAGCAAAAAGTCCAGAGAGAGACAGGATGAGGTCAAAGAAGACAAAAACTACTAGGTTAGGATATCCAACAACTTATGAAAACATGCATACTTTTAAGGATAAGGCCAGGTAGACAATACACCACTGCCATTTTACTGGCCAGCTGGTTTTTACCTTAAAGTGATAAACAGTTCAGCTCTTAGAGAAAATCTGTGTCAGATTTAGTTACACTATAGTTAAGGAATACTAAAAAGAGAAAACTTACTGCTTCAGCCTAAAAGAACCTTTTTTATCTTTTTAAAATTGATTTTAGAAAGAGAACAGAAGGAGGGAGGAAGGGAGAGAGGGAGAGAGGGAGAGAGGGAGAGGGAGAGAGAGAGAGAGAGAGCGAGAGAGAGAGAGAGGGAGAAAAACATCAATGTGAGAGAGGCACATTGATTGGTTGCCTCCTGCATGGGCCCCGACAGAGGCCAGGGATCGACCCTGCAACCCAGGTATGTGCCCTTGACCAGGAATTGAACCTAAGACTCTTTGGTGCATGGGCCAACACTTTAACCACTGAGCACACCAGTCAGAGCAAGAACCTTTTAAAAATTATTATTTTTAGTTGGTAATACTTTTATCATATAAAACATGAGACAAAATATCAGTATTATCATCTTTTACTTACTTGTATTGTTCCAAATGTTTCATCAAAGGGGTTTTTTACTATCAAGGAAAAAAAAGAGAAGAACTATTAGCATCATTTAAAAACGAAAATAAGAATCCCCCTAAATAAGTCCTCTGAAATGCCAGCATGTTTTTTGCTAAAACTGAATATAAACATGCAAATAAAATGTAAAACACACTGATGATAATAACAGTTGGGAAAAGCATTTTTTTCAGACTTATTATACTTACCATTCTCACTCTGAATTTGTGGTGTTCTCCATAGTAATAGCAGGTGCTCTGATGTCAGAGCTGCTGGGTTCAAGTCCCAGCTCCATCACTTAATAGCAACGTGACCTTGAACTAACATCTACTTTGCCACTCTAAGTTGTAGTTTCCTTTTCTATAAAGGAAGGATGTAACAATGGCACCTACCTTATATTGTTATTGTGAGGATTAAATGAGATAAATCTTAAAAAAAGCTTGGCATAGTCTCAAACACTTAATATATGTTACCTATTGTTACTGTTAATGACTGAATCATTTGTTTCCTCTTTAACTTGGTTTCTCTTCAAAACACTTCTAAAAGCACTTACTACTTGTGCAGTTTATAACATGCTTTAAAAATAAATAATTTAGAATTCTGACTTCTAATAATTAAAAAAAAAACTTCCTAATCCTTGCTAATATTTTGGAAAATGGCAAGAAATAAATATACAGATCGAAGTACTTAAGAATTATCTCAGTACTAAACAATTTTGCATTTCCAATAAATATTATAAGAAAAGGATTAACCACTTTCTAGCCAACCTCCCTATACTCACCCATCCTCCAGTAAAGATACCAGCAAGTTTATGGCTGAATTATGTAGCATCTCTCATGATTATTATTTAGAAAATCCTCCTTATCATCTATTTTTAAATCACATGTAAAAATAGTCAAAGCTTTGATACCTGAATCTCTATAATCCAGGTCACAACTAAGACTGAGCCCACAAAGTACTTCACACTCACCAGGTTTCCTTTCTGAGGTGCTTTTTTATTTTCATTTGAGAAAACAGGAAGTCCCATAGGAACCAAGAACTGCCTGATTCTGAGAAAGTTCATGTGTAAGACCAGTTTAACAAAGTACAATAAAAAAATTTAAAAAAAGGGAAAAAAGGTATCCGGCTAGCATCTATAGCAGTGGTTCTCAGCCTTCCTAATACTGCAACCCTTTAATACAGTTCCTCATGTTGTGGTGACCCCCAATTTCATCGTTACAAATTGAACATAACTAAAGCATAGTGATTAATCACAAAAACAATATGTAATTATATATGTGTTTTCCAATGGTCTTAGGCGTCCCTTGTGAAAGGGTCGTTCGACCCCCAAAGGGGTCGCGACCCACAGGTTGAGAACCGCTGATCTATGGGGATTTTGCTAATAGATTTTTTAAACAATATTTTTTTATAGAGTAACAAAGTTTTTATACTAGGAAAGAAAAATTTTTGAAAGACCAAAAGTACCCAATAGGGGGAATAGAAGGAAGGAGAAATATAGCTTAAAGATTAAATAAAATGTAAAGAATTGGAACATGCTTGAACTAAAAAGACTCTTTTTAATAACATTCATTTTTATTCATGTAACAATTTAAAATAAAGCTATATTTAGTTAAATAAACTGAAAGATGCCCTGTCAATCTAGTTAAAATTAGAAATTTGATTAAAATTGGTCTAACAATACTAAAAAACAAGTCTTTTATTTGCTCTTTATAAATCTAAAATATTAAAACATAAAATTCTTAAACACTGGTTTTAATGTCTATGGAAAAAAGCAACAATAGCATTATTTTTTTACTATATACAAAAGTATTTTTTATCAAGATTATTAAATAAAAACCTAGCTCATCAAGTATCATTATGAAAGTACTAGAGGCCCAGTGCACGAAAAACATGCATGGGTAGGGTCCCTAGGCCTGGCTGCGATCAGGGCCGATTGGGGCTTCCCAACTGCTGGCCGGGGGCTTCCTTCATTCTGTGCTGCCCCCTGGTGGTCAGAGCACGTTAGAACAAGCGATCGAACTCCCAAAGGAATACTTTGAATAATAGCCATATATATATATATACATATACACCCACACACACACACACACACACACACTAGAGGCCCAGTGCACAAAAAATTGTGCACTCGAGGGAGAGGGGGGTCCCTCAGCCCGC